AAAGACTTGTTTTGGCTCATGTTTTCAAAAGGTTTTAGTTCATGGTCAGCTGGCTCCATTGATTTAGGCCTGAGGCAAGGCAAAACATCATGGCAGAAGGATATGGAGGAGGAAAGTTGCTCACCTCATAGCAGTTAGAAAACTAAGACAGGAAGGGGCTGGGGACAAGATGTAGTTCCCACTCCCTCCAATTAGGTTCTTCTTCCTACAGTTCCCAGCACCTCCCAATAGCCTATTCAGCTATGGATCCCTCAATGGATTAATCCATTGATGCGGTTAGAATCCCCACGATCCAATCACTTATGAAATCCCAACACTGCAGCATTGAGTACCAAGCCTTCAACATGTCTGAGGGGAACACTTCAATCCAAACCATAATATCCCCCTTATCTCAAGTTGTTGTACTCCCAGTACATTGTACAGTTATTTTTAAGAACTATAAGTGAGAAATGGGGGAGAACTAGGGAATCCAAGGCCATCTAGAGAACTACTCAGCAGTACTGTCTCCAACTTCAAAGTGCTTTTCACTCAGCAACATTGCTTTTCTTTCCTTCTATTAAGGAAACATGAAAAGTAGACTCTGGCCTTACCCACACCACATCATGTGGACACTTCATGTAAAGTCTGAAAAATCTTCCTACTACTTATATAACACAAAAGGGAAAAGAGAACCTTTAAAGGAATCTGACAGATACCATCTTTATCAGGAGATCAGTAATTTTCATTGATAATGAAACATCTGAAATCAAGTGTCAACTGACTTCTGTGATATTCCTGCTAAAGTTTATATCCTGAAACTCATATCTAGGAAACATCAGACAAACCCACAGTCAAGGAAGTTCTCAAAAATAATCCAGGCCATGAAAGTCAAGAAAGGACTAAGGAACTTTCAGATTGAAGAAAACCAATAAGTTATGACAACTAAATGCATGCATGATTTTGAACTGAATCTTTTTGCTATAAAGAACAATATTAGGACAAATGGCAAAACTTGAATGGGGTTAAGAGGTAGACGGTAACAATGTTAATTTCCTAATTTTGATAGTTTTATTGTGACAGTCTTATTTATAGCTATATACTTATCTATAGATAAGTATAGTGGTATGTGGTATATGGTATATGACATATGGTAGTGTTTCTATAGATAACACTACCACTGAGCTACATCCGAGCTTTTTACATTATATTTTATTTTATAATATTTTTTAGTTGTAATGGATCTTTTTTTCCAATTTATTTATTTATTTATATGCAGTGCTGAGGATCGAACCCAGGGCCTCACACATGTGAAGCCAGATTTAAAGATAGGTAGTTAGTGTAGTTAGGTAAATCCAGTAAAAGCGAAATTGAAGGCCATATTGAGAATGGAGTTCAGGGAAAGGGGAATTGAAAATGTCCTCAAGGCCCAGAGCCCATCCCAAGGAAATGTTAATGAAGTAGCTCCCAGCAAACCTGGAGATACTAATCCAAAAGTCCTTCCTGCCCAGATTACTCCTCTGGCCCAGGGTCCCCCACCTTTGGGCCTTCCCACCTACATTCTACCATTGCAAGATAATAGAACAAAGGACAGGAATGTGGGAAAGACCTCCCTCTTCCATGGATTCCACCTCTTGGGTCCCGTTCTTCCTCTGGGGAGAAGTCTTTTCTGCTGTCCTTAATAAAGCTTCTACTTTCCACTCTAAACTTGCCTTGGTGTGCTAGGAAGGGGGCGTGACCCTTGTCCTTAGAAAGACCCACAGAGCACTCCTAGGCACATACCCACCCTGCTGAATTGTTTATCTACAAATAACTGGAGAGATCTGCTGTGCCAGGTGTCCCTGACTCAGTCAGGCTAGGTGGGGACCCACAGCAACCCCCTAGCAGCCACCAATCAGCATGGGTCAGGGAAAATACCTGGGATGCTAGATGACTCTCCCAGTAGTTTATGGTGTTTGATAACATGTTGGGAAACCATGTAGTTCAGCATGTACTCCCCTCGTGGCTTAAACCAATCAGTTCAAACGAATCCCCTTCTTATACTAACCAATCACCCCTACCCAACTTGTTCCTGCCAGTGAATGTGCTAATCATGTTTTAGAGTTGTTTTATGATTTTCCCGTGGTGTGTGATGATTTGCTAAGAGATGCTATGATGTATGTGAAGTCCCTGCCTTCCCCAAAGAGTGTATAAAACTGCTGCAAACCCTGGGCTCGAGGGCCTCTCAGCGTCACCAGTTGCTGTGTAGGTAAGGAGGACCGAGCTAGCTCGCAATAAACACTTCTTTGCTGCTTACATAGATCTTGATCTCTGGTGGTCTTTTGGGGGTCCCGAATTCGAGCATAACATAAGGACTTGTCACTGGTAAACAGCGGTAACACACGCCAGGCAAGTGCTCTACCATTGAGCCACAACTCCAGCCCCTTTACACTATATTTTAATTTTGTTTTCTCTTCTATTCCTTCTTTTATGCTACTCAAGAGCAAAGACTGTCTTCACTGCTGTTTCACTAAAGTTAACACAGATCTTAGCTCATCTGGAGTTATTTTCTTTTAATATTTTTTAGTTGTTGATGGATCTTTATTTTATTTACTTGCTGAGAATCAAACCCAGTGCCTCACACATGCTAGGCAAACACTCTACCACTGAGCCACAACACCAGCCCTCATGTGGAGTCATTTTAATTAGTCATTTCTTGCCTCTGAAAATAGAAAAAGATGTATTTGATGTGAAATATTAAACCACAAGTAATTAGTTGAATTTATATTGCTCTTGTTCTTTACTTGAACAATGTCCAAAGTCCTTTTAATGACAATGTATATTACAATGATATTAAAATTTCTTACCAAAGTCCAAAGACCTGTTTTCTACACAGCTTTTGCTAGTAAAGGTGAATTATCAGCAAAGCAATAAACAAAATGCATTTACATTAAATAATTCTCAAGTGACTTCTAGTAAAGAGAATCAATGAAGGAATTATACCACAGGTTTAGTTTTAAAGTAATCTCTTTAAATAGCAGCAACTAAAACGTAGTTTTTATTTACCTGAAATTTTTTCCTTATTAAGCATCAGCACAGGAAAGAGGAAAGGACTTTTTCTTTTGTGTTTTGTGAAAGAATTGAGTTATTTAAAAATTCAGAGTCTGGGGCTAGGGATGTGGCTCAAGCGGTAGCACGCTTGCCTGGCATGCGTGCGGCCCGGGTTCAATCCTCAGCACCACATACAAAGAAAGATGTTGTGTCCGCCAAAAACTAAAAAAATAAATAAATATTAAAATTCTCTCTCTCTCTTTAAAAAAAAAGAAATTTCTGAAAAAAATAAAAATTCAGAGTTTATAAAAATTTTTATTGATACCACAGAAATCTTCACATTAAAAGGGGAATTTCCACCAGGCTTGGTGGTACAGGCCTGTAATCCCAGTGACTTGGGAGGCTGAAGCAGGAGGATAGCAAGGTAGAGCCAGACTCAGCAACTTAGCAAGACCCTTATCTCAAAATAAAATTTAAGGGGAAAGGGTAGGGATGTAACTCAGTGGTAGTATCCTTCTGCGCTTAATCTCCAGTACCATAAGACACCCCCCCCCCCAAAAAAAAAGTATTTTTATTAGGTTATAAAAGGACAAGTTGAAATTGGGAATAAAACCGAGGAGAACCATCCAGAAGTTCTTCTCACTCTCCTTCCTTTTTCCCTCCCCTCCAATTCTATGAAATGTGGACTTGTGGTCAAAAGAGCCAGCTGGAACAGAACTGTAGCTGAACAGTGCCAAGGTATTTGGAAACTCCACTCTGAGCCATGACACCATTCCATTAGCACAAAACTTTGCTAGGTGCAAGGTCTGAGGAACCCTAGCATTCTCTCCCACTCTGCATCCCAAATGAGTGAGTTGTTGGGACTATGGTGTGATGGCAAAAGCCAAGACTGGGACTCCAGTTTCTGAAAACTTCTGTTTCACCTTTAAGCTTCTACTTTACTATTTCCTTTGTGCTGGGCTCTGTGCTAAAGAGTTTTCACCCTGTTTAAAACAAACCACTATTCTATGAGTGGACTTCTCCAGAGTTTTGCTTTGGGTTTCCTTCCTTCATAGGATGCAATGACTGTAAGAAATGGCTGTTTCAAAGGGGGATGAAGGGAAGGGAGGGGGAATGGGAATAAGAAAGTAGAATGAATTGGACATACCATCCTATGTGCATATATGATTCACCATCAATGTAATTCTACATCATGTACAACCAGAACAATATTATTATCCTATATACATGTATGATTACACTACTGGAGCGACTCTGCACCTGTACAGTCAGAGGAATGAGAAATTGTGCTCCATTTGTGTATAACATGTCAAAATGCATTCTACTGTCATGTATAACTAATTAGAACAACAAACACAATTTTAAAATGTAAAAATTGACTGTTTTATGTTATTATATTTAAATAATTCATGCCAAAGATTATAAGCAGATTATACAAATACTGTAAATTTAGGGAACATCATTTCTAAGATCCATGACTCAAACTGTGGAAAGAGTGGTGATGGTTGGATAACTGAATGTAATTCATGTCACTGGATTATACACTTACAAATGGTTAAAACAAATGGCATATCACAAATGACTTTATCACAATTACAAAATTAAAAAAAAAATTGTTAGGCAGGTGAAGCGCCTGCTGCACGCTCCTCCTCGGTTCTCAAGTCCATTATTAAAGCACACCCCCTACAAGCCGGTGCCGGGCGCTGCGCCTCCCTTCTTAATCTCGGTCGCCCCATTAGTAAAAACGAGGGGGTTGCTGAGATGACCTTTAAGGGGCCTTCCAGATAGATGTATTAGTCTTCTCAGAGTACCCAAAAAGCTCGAGTTCACATTCCAGAGCACACGTCGGAGCGCAAAGGGCGCCCTCCTACCTGTGCCCGGCAGGGTCAGGGATCTGGAGGTCTGGGTCTCGCGCGCCGGCCACTGCGCGCGTGCGCAATGGCCCTGGGCGCGCGGCGGCCCTCGGCGCCCCGCCCCACCAGCGCTAGCTTCCAGTAGCAGAGGGAGGTAGAGGAGCTGTGCGTGTTGGGCTCGGCTGACCGGTGGCCCCTCAGCCGACTCTCAAGTACAGCTCCCTCGCCGCCCCTCACCTCCTCTCCTCCCCGGCTCCGGTTCCAACACCTTAACTCCGAGCCGGGGAGGGGGGGAGGATCCCTCCAGCGTGACGCCCCGGGCCCTCCCCAGGGGCGTGAGAAGGGGCGGGGCTGCGGGCTTAAGACTCAGGCCCCAGGCAGTCTCCTGTTGTTCTGGAGCAAGCCGGCTAGTCATACAGTAAGGGAGTCATGTCGGCGCAGCCGGGGCTCTGGCCCCAGGTCCGGGACACCTGCACCTCTCTGGGGCTTATGTTGTCGATCGTGCTGTTCATGGGTCTGGGCCGCGTGATTGCTCGGCAGCAGCTGCACAGGCCCCTGGCCCACGCCTTCGCTTTGGAGTTTCTGGCCACCTTCCAGCTCTGCTGCTGCACCCACGAGCTACAACTGCTTGGCGCGCAGGACTCCGCGCACCCCACCTGGACGCTGACGCTAATCTACTTCTTCTCGTTGGTGCATGGCCTGACTCTGGTGGGCACTTCCGGCAATCCGTGTGGCGTGATGATGCAGATGATGCTGGGGGGAATGTCCCCCGAGATGGGTGCAGTGAGGCTGTCGTCTCAGCTAGTTAGCGCTCTGTGCAGCAGGTACTGTGTAAGCGCCCTGTGGAACCTGGGTCTGACCAAGTATCACTTCAGCGAGAGGAACTTGGCTTGCAAGAATCCCATCGATTCAGATTTACCCCAAGCGATCATCACAGAGGTCGTCTGCTCCTTTATCTTCCACAGCGCTCTGCTGCAGTTCCAGGAGGTCCGAACCAAGCTTCGTATCCACCTGCTGGCTGCACTCATCACCTTTTTGGCCTACGCAGGTTTGTCATTTCCCATAAAACACTTGGCACTTCTGGACCTCTATGATCTGAGGCTCTTAAGTTCTTTACCAAGATACATCCGAAACCCCACACCGCTGTGATGTAAATATTGGTATCCCTCAGCCCTTTTATTCTAACCATTTTGCAACCCATTCTTAACCAACAAGGCCGAGGTCTTTTATTTAGTGTTTTCAAACACACAGAGAAAGGGGCCACCTCTTGTGCTGAAATTTGAGATCCTGTTAGATACTGCCATGGGTTCAAATATCTTAGAAAAGGATTGTTTTAGCGTTAGAGAGGAAAGACAACTTATCAGTTACCTTTTTGATATTGTAAAGGTGGTATAGATGGTTTCTGACACTCACTGAAAAATGATCCCGGGTCTAAAAAGTTCCTTTTTAAAGCACAAGGCACATGATTGGTTAGTAGTTAAGAATGGGGAGTAGAAATTCTGTAGTTCCATTTTCTAGTCTTTTTTTTTTTTTTTTTTTTACAAATTACTTACTCATTTCTTTTTTTTTAATTTTGTTTTTTTTGGTTGTCATGGACCTTTATTTTATTTATTAATATGTGGTGCTGAGAATCGAACCCAGTGCCTCACACATGCTAGGCAAGCTCTCTGCCACCAAGCCACAACCCCAGCCCCACTCATTTCTTATTTCTTTAATAATTCGTCTTGAGTTATAAATGAACTTTTAATTGGTCTATCAAGAAAGTTGTGTCTTAAAATTAAAACTTGATTGAAACTAAGGATGCTTAAAAAAAAAAGTATTTATTTATTTATTTAATGTGGTGCCGAGGATGGAACTCAGTGCCTTGCATGTGCTACCAGAACATTTAGCTAGCACTCATGATGCCCTGCACACAATCCTCTATGCCACCATTCCCAAATGATTCCAAAAGAATACCTTTACTGGGACCATATCTGAATTATAAAATGTTTTGGAGGCATGAATATAACAAAGGAAATTTATAATAGTCATCTTCTTCTGCCATTAAGTGAAACTTAGAATTAGAAACAAACCTCAAAATAAGGGCTCCTAAATGTTTGACCTTATAGGGTAAAAATGAAAGACTTCCCAATCCATATTCCCGTCTTTAGGCATAGTTCCATTTTTTAGTATACACAGATGAAAACAAATGTTCCAGGAGAGAGGGAAGAGCATATGTATAACTGGAGGGTTCATGAATAGTTGCTCATGGGCTGGGGATGTGGCTCAAGCAGTAGCGTGCTCGCCTGGCATGCGTGCGGCCAGGGTTCGATCCTCAGCACCACATACAAACAAAGATGTTATGTCTGCCGAAAACGAAAAAATAAATATTAAAATGAATAGTTGCTCATTTATTCAAGTTTTAGGTTTTTAGCTAAATCAGAAATATCCACTATGTATGAACTGAACTGTCTATGGTTAAAAAAAAAAAATTCTGCTGAGTGTGGCAGCATATGCTCTGATTCCAGTTACTCAGGAAGCTCAGGCAGGAGGATCACAACAAGTTCAAGGCCTGCTTGAGCAATTTGGAAAAACCCTATTTTCTAGTCTCAAAGTAGAATAATTTGAAAAGGTCTAGAGATGCAGTGAGGCTCTGTACCAGGGAAAACAAAAAACAGTGACCACCCCCTGCCCCCCCAAAATGTAGTTACACCACAGTTTAATCTTTTACAGTAAAAGATTTTTTAAAATAAAACATTGACAGTTGGATCTTTCTCCAACTATGTCCCTCCTCCCTCTGTTGATTATCCTCAAGTTGGTATTCTATTTTATACTTTAATATAGTTGTGATTCCATAAATAATTCTGCATATATTTATGTTATAGAGATTTTGATAATATTTGAAGTTATAGATTAATATAAGGAAAACTATATATATATATAGTGGAAGGAGTATGTAAAAGATCAATTTAAGGGATCTAAAACACTGTTCCTTTTTATTGAAATGTGGGAATTAATGGAAGAGGGCGAGAGAGTAAAAGGGTTGCTAGAACAGTGGTTTTCAACATTTTTCCTGCATTGGAATGACCTGGGGAGCTTTTAAAATATACCCATTCTGGGTTCAGAGATTAAAATGTAATTGCTCTGGGAAGGCGCCTAGGCAGTGGTATAATTTAATTTAACTTTTTGGTACCAGGGATTGAACCCAGGGATGTTCTATTACTGAGTCACATCCCCAGCAGTTTTTTATTTCTTATTTTGAGACAGGTTCTCGCTAGTTGCTGAGGCTGGCTTTGAACCTGCAATCCTCCTGCCTCAGCTTCCCAAACAGCTGGGATTATAGGCATATGCCACTATGCCTGGAAGCAGTGATATATTTTAAAGTTCCCCAGGTGATTCCTTTCAAAACCAAGGTTGAAAACCACTGTTCTAAGAATCTAGGCCTGTATAGTCCAATTCAGAAGCCACTAGCCCCCTGTGGCTATTTAAATTAAGGAAAAATAAAGATTGAGTTCCTTACTGGAAGTAGGCACATTTCAAGTGTAATATACTGTAATTAGTGGCTACAGTCTTAGAGCTGGAGAGTGCAGGGGTAAAACCAAACAGAAAAATCACAATCTATGATAATCTTCCTTTCCATTTTCTTTTCTGCCAATATAGGACAGATAAGAGTATTCATTGGGTGCTTAGTATAGGCTAAAGCATCTTGCTAGGAAATTTATATGAGTAACCATAGTTAATCCTTACCAAAAGCCATTGATGAATACATTATTTCCATTTTAAGCAAAGTGAGTGGGGCTCAGAAGTTAAATGATCATCTCAATTTACACAGCAGGCATGCGCACAAACCATGCTTCAAACTGACACTAAAGTACCTACCTAGTTTTATTATCAGCATTCCTACAGTGTGCTCCTCATGAGTTCTAAAAACATACAATTGAATACAATTGGCTCTAAAAAGGAATAAAGTTCTGACAGATACAATATGAACTTTGAAAATATTATGCTAAGCCAGACACATTGCACAATGTAATCCCAAGAACTCAGGAGGCTGAGGCAGGAGGATCAAAAGTTGGAAGCAATCTAGTGAGACACAGTCTCAAAAATGAAAAAACATGAGGCAAGGTGGGGGAACTGGTAGGGTGGTAGGGTGTCTCTATGTTCAAGTCCCACTAATTCTTTTTTTAAAAATTCTAGCTGGACATGGTGGGGCACACTTGTAATCCCAGCAATTTAGGAGGCACTAAACAAATCAGTGAGACCCTGTCCCAAAATAAAAAATAAAAAGGGTTGGGGATGTGTCTCAGTAATTAAGTGCCACTGGGTTCAATCCCCAGTACCAAAAAGTAAAAATAAAGAAATTTTAAAAGTCCAGACCCCCCAAAAAGGACAAATATTTTATTACTTCACTACATGAAATAATCCAAAATAGGCAAATTCATAGAATCAGAAAGTAGAATATAGGTTACCAGGACTGAGGAGAAAGAAGAAATGGAAACTTATTATTAATGGATACAGACTTCAGAGTGATAGAAAACTTCTTCTGGATGGAAAACTTCTGGAAAAAAGATAATACTGACAGTAGAACAACATTGTTGAATGTAAAAAACACTGAGTGGCATATTTTATGTATCTTTTACCACAATTAAAAATTTTTAATTACAAAAGGATTTTTATCAAATAAGTCTGGCAAACACTGGATTAAGCAGGTTTTTTAAATTTTATGATCCCACAGAAACTTACTTTACTATGTTACCACTTTGTTCCAAATAGAATGGACTGTCTTGGGACTAGTTGAGTGTCTGTGCGGTCAGGCAAAAGCAAGGCTTTTGTAGGAAGAACTTAAAAAGGAAAAGGGAAACAAAGGCAGGAGAAGATGTGTGATCTAGCCAAGATCACACATCATTATAAGTTACTTTGATTTAACTATTTTTTTTTTTTGGGGGGGGGGAGTTTCTAGGGATTGAACTCAGGGACACTCAACTACTGAGCCACATCCCCAGCCCTATTTTGTACTTTATTTAGAGATAGTGTCTTACTGAGTTGCTAGCACCTTCCTTTTGCTGAGACTGACTTTGAACTTGCAGTCCTCCTGCCTCAACCTCCTGAGCCACTGGGATTGTATCTTTTTTAAACTTGTAAAATACCACAAGTACAGGTTTGACAAAATTGCATGCTGGGAGATTTCAACTTGGGCCTTGAAGGCACTCAGGATTCATGAATTTAGGTCATGTCAAAATGACTGATGATGTATTTTAAGATTCAGAACAGAACTGCCTAGCAGCCTAGCCATAGGTTTCTAGGATTGTGTATTTATTGATTTAGCATTCTGAATTTATTTTTTGCAGTGCTGAGGATTCAACCTCTGGCTTTGCATATACTAAGCAAATGCTCTACCACTCAGCCAGCCCAGCAGTCAGAATTTTTATGTGCAGGTGAGGGCCACTGTTGTCATTACCACTTATGTAGCTATTGGCTTCCCTAATAAAATAAAATTAAAAAAAAAAGAAAAAGAAAAAGCTTGGTGAGAACATATTAAAAAATATAAACTTTTTTTTTTTTTTTTTTTTTTTAATGGGGTCTTGCTATTATGCTGTCCAGGTTGGTCTTAAGCTCCTGGGCTCAAGTGATCCTCTTACTTCAGCCTCCCAGAGAGCTGGGACTTCAGACAGGTGTGTGCTGCCACAACTGGCTCTTAAAATTATAAATTATTATTTCAGATTTCAAGAAATTCTTCCTTAATTTGTATTTTTAGTTCAGTAAACAGGGTGAGAAAAAAATGCATTTATTTCTGTACATAAATAGATATTGAAAAAATATTATTTTACACATGTAAGTTGTCTTTATTACTGCACCTTTTTGTTTATAGAATTTAAAATTATTTACACTGTTTTCTGACATAGTACCTATCCTCATCTACCAGAAAGTAAGGTTTGAGTACAGAAACAACATTTGTTTTATTTTTCATAATGTAGAACTAGGACTTAGGATAGTATAATCTGGTACAAAGTGAACAGTTGAAAGAATCTTTAGAGTAAATGAGTGAACTAGCAAATAGTTTGTTCAATA